TGTTCTAGACTCGGAACCAATCCGAATTCATTGTGATACGAGCATACTAAGTTCGATAGAAGAACCTTATCAAGAGCCTTGAAGGTTCATCCTTAGGAATGTTTCAGCTAAATCTTGAGACGCCTTTTGGCAACATCCACTCGGTCCTCAGTAGATTCCATGACTGACCAATTTCTTGTTGTGATCATGAAGGACATTGAGTGTGTGAATGATGAATAGCTAGGTATGCACCTCTGTGCTCTATTCGAAGAATGCTACTTATATCCCTACCTACTTAACAAAAAGTAGTAACCAAAATGATTAATCAGCTATTTTTGATTCAAGTAAACATTTATATACTTTGCTACCATAAATTAAAGCATAAAAGGGAGACAACATGAAGGTTGTGCTTAAACGAAAATTTATGAACACTATTTCCTATTTTAGGCAGTGTTACCGTATTGATGTCCAACTATGACGAAATATTACGGGAAAAAACAAGGATCGACGTCATTTTTCTTATGCTTACTAAATCGTTCGAAGAATATATTTGACCAATTAGAAAAATGATGGAAGATGAAAGATTACTTAATCGGGATACTTAGATGAAGCTACACAATCCATCGGATCTACCTAGGTAGGTACCTCTTGGAGTGAAGATTGTTTTTTTCCACCATCTCAATCATCTCATCTCATGTGATTCGACATGACTGGTCTTGGCAAATCAGAATCAATCTTATCGATATCCTTGTGTACATGTGTTGTCAAAGAAAAAGCAAGTTTTTTCCATCCAATTTCCCCCCCCCTTATCACATTATCCCACATTATCTTCAAGAATAGCCTTTTCCCTTTGATAATTCTATATCCTGAATATTTGTATCACCTGGAACCCTCATCAGCGTAAGAAGTCATTCTACTCATACGCCGCATTATCAAAACACGAGGGTTTGAATCATCAGTTCTAGCATCTAGATTCACTTAGATTCTCTTGGGCGTTGAGAAATCAGTTCATCAGACCTTACACGACCTTATACAATTTTCCATGCATTTAATTGACTGCACTGATACGGGTCATTACATGCAGTGCCATCATTTCCCGGCCATGTGGTCCTAAAGTCATACAAAATTTCCGAGAAACTTCATGATTCGAAATTCAAACATACCTACTACATACATCAACCCAAGAGATGAGACCTGATTACTAAAAATAAGGCAGATGTTTCTTGGTCATTGGTATCACTACCTATCAATACGGTGTGATATGTCATTCGCTGTTCCATATACTCAGTTTCTTCTACTCTTCCTATCACCCCCTACATATCAAGTCATCCTGCAAAGCGCCCTTCCGGTGGCTCCGAATCAGTATGGCAGCCAGATTTTAAATCCCGAAATGTGGCGATGTCAGATTAGAAATGATTTGCGACTCTTAATCCCTCTCGCCAATGGTTACTTCTGAATTGAGATGGGATCGAAGATGAGTTTCTTCACACATAAACGGCCTCGTCCCGAGATGTGAACTGGAAGCGACCGATCTGCAGGTATCATGTGCCGTGTTGCCGAGGTGTCATCCGAGCAATGTTTGAGGCTCTAAATTTTGGACTTACACCATAAATCTCAAGAAGGTTGACAAGACCATTTAACAAATCATACCACATCGCATGGAATTTGCAATCCGAAATTATCAGACACACAGGACAATTGTACCTGCACGAAGACAGAACATCATTTCCGTAGTTGGAAACATCGAGTGAGGTCTCTGTAGTATCAAGTCAATCAATCGCGAATCCCACAGGAGATGCCTAGCTGGTATCAACTGCATGGCTATTTTGTGCTTAAAATCTCTTGGGTTGGACAATACTCATTGCACTCATCTAATGATCACTACCAGTAATGTTCTAGCCGGACCTTGTCCCCTTCTTAGGGAGAAGACACAGTGGCGTTGCTCTGCAACTTTGCAACATATACATTCCATTCTGAGTTGTGAAACGTGCCCCCTCTTCGCTTAACCATGGGGTATACAGAGTTTAAAGAGCCGGACATTCAGCTCTCATTGACTGGGGATCTAACTCTCCAAGGCATTGTGACTCTTAAGTTGAAGAACACATCATTTACTAAGGTTTGGTATGGACTATCTCAAATGATCCGGGAGTCACCAAAGTCTGAATCTGGATATACCTGGGCCTTATGGATGAGGTTGTGATAGATACTGCTTAGCCTTAGATATAAGATTTGGTAATTAACACTATTGTATTAAATCGACACCACATGCTTTCACCTGGAAGCAGACCAATCACCAATCAGCGTCGAGGGTGGATAGTATGACAGAAGGGGAATGTCGTATTAATCCCGGCCGGGTAAGTATTTCCCCGAGCTTTTAGATGAAGCTCGTCGCAGTCACTGCTTAGATGCCACGTTTCTGGCATATGCCTCTTCCGCACTTCGGAGACACAACTAACCCCACAAGCGCAGCTTGATCTTACCCTTATACACGGACCTCCGCATCAGCAACCTGAAATAAGCCTTATGAGGAGCAATGAAGCGTGAATCTTGAACCTCAGATCCGCAGTGATTTGTGTATTCTCACCACTCTCAGCCACACAAAAGGAAAATTTACAAGTCTGAGTAAACACCGTCAAGGATGATAAATCTCCGTGGTATATGGCTCGGCTAGTAAGCGAAAGGCACAACACGAATGGCATCATCTCTAGCATCAGAACAAGACTCATCATTGACTTGAATGTAGTTTGATACCAAGTTGTGGCGAGACGCGCTCCCTCCTGAAGTTGCCTGCTTCAAATCATGCGACTGATAATCTCCACATTCAGTCCAGACTATCATTCACCACAACGACCTAGTGAACTCAAGCCTGTTATATACAATAGTCACCAGTAAATTGGAATCGACATGCAAAGACTTGGAAACAAAAACTCGGATTGCCATGGACGACGGTTAGGAGTTTCGCATGGTGAAGTCATCACATCAATCTCCTCCACAGCAGTCCTATAAAGCTTCAGATGAGTCTCACCAGCAAATACTACAAACACCCTCAAAGGGAAGCTATCGAATACATCAAGTTATTTGCCAGAGATTATATGGGTGCAAGTGGATCGATCAATTACTTCTCCAATGCCTACCTCATTACAATCCTTCTCTCATCCGAACTCATCGGCTCACTGGCTCGCTAGCTCATTTGTCAATGACATACCACAGCAACCATACATTCACTACTTCGCTCTCGCAAATATACTGTGACAATGCAATGACTTTCGCCATAACAAAGGCACCTAAAACGTCTCCATGCCTTAACGGTATGCGACTCGACTCGACTCGACTTCCGACAAAAAAAGAAGACGAAAACAGGCGCCAATCCCAAAACGAACGAACCGAGAGAGGAAACGCATATTCCTACGCATATCGCCGAAATCAACACCAAGGCGACCCATAAATTATAAGGAGGTAACTTGTAATTTATTAAAAATATAAAATATAAAATTAGCTAAGGGTGGATATCTTCGGGGCTGGTACCACACCGCGGCCAACCATGGATCCTCTTGTTGAATCCACCGTATTAGCAACCAGGTAGTCAGCCTTGGTTAAGATGTAGCCACTCATGTAGTCATGAGTGGTGAACTTTTTGCATTTTTCTATGTTGGATATCTATTGGAAAATAAGTTTGTGGGCTGATAGATAGATATCTTGCATTGTGGTACCAGGTAGGTTGTGTATTTGCGTATCTTTTGTATTTTTGCGTGTTATACTCACTTCTTGAGATGTCAGCATTCTGGGTTTTCGTCCCGTTCAATATTGACTTGTAGTTTGTAGTGTGACTGGCATATCTTGATAATGCGTATGCGACAAATGTTATTTAATTGTATGTATAGTATCTAGGTAAGAAGGATGGGTGAGTCAATATCATGTATTTTGTAATATATGAGATGGATTCCCCTGGGATGGCGAGGACTTGTGCTACTGGAATATCACAAATAAAAGCAAGATTATACCGAGGCTTGAGAGAGCGACAGCAACTGCGATGAGAAATATAGATTAAGTATGAGGGTCAAAAAAGCTTGCTGGTCTGGTCTATCACGATTTTCTCCTGTATCAATCAACATCCTTTACTACCTGTGTAAAAATATAATGCACATTTATCTATAGCGTACCTCATCCGTTCCATCGTCTAAATGTAATGTAGTTAAGATGAAGTTGCCATTGTATTTGTAATTAAATTCTGTGCTGGGCGTTTATATTTATTCTTCTCAGTGAGTGAAGAGATGGTAGATGATATGAACACGAAATGTAGAGTCTACTACGTTTTTAGATATTGAGATGCATAGATGTATGTATATACAACATATTCTCATGACTGACCGACTCATTTACTTGTTTGTTTGAGTGATAGAAGAAGAAAATGTATTTTCCATTGATGTGTATGTATTGTTACGAGAGAAAGAAACAGAGGGAGGTATACACGTGGTTCATTTGATGCTTGAACAGCGTACGAGAACAGTTTTGAATTTTTACCATCGTGCATGGGTGTTCGCCGTGGGAGGAATATGGAGAATAATATTGTGCGGTGGTTGCGTGATGGGGATTGAATATTAGGTAGCTAGGGAAGGGGATTGGGGTTGAGATGAATGGATAGTGAGTGGTTATATATATATATATATAATTTGTTGTATAGATATGTGGTTTTTTCGTTTATTTGTTAACTGGGCTGAGTAGCTGTCAAACGGACGGATATGTTTGTCAGATATGACTGGCATGCGAAGAAAAATCATACACACCATTTCACTCACACAAGAAAAGAGCCACTCTTTTGATGATTTACTATTCAGACAATTTAAAAACCATGCAATTTCATTCATGTATTCATTCCTTCATAACACATCGATCCGTCTACGGCCGTGTGATTCCCAATAAAAAAACCTAGTACCGAATCCTAAGCCATGCATGCATCGTCCATCTATCCATCTCACAGGGTATCAATCTAACCTCCCATCTAGCTTTCCATCCCCACACATCTACTTATTCTGCCTCTCCAACTCACTCTCCACCCCCCTCTGCTGCGTCTTCCCCACATCATGCTGTTCCCTCCTCGCCTCCTCCTTCTCCCTATCTCCCATGACTCCCGCGACCGCACCGCCCACGGTGCCCTGCACTCTATTCTTCACCCCACTGCCCAAGTCATTCAATTGTCCCTGGGCTTCCTGGCCCCTGCCCGCAGCATTCTGTTCGCGACCATCTTTCTTCATCTCCTCGCTCCCGAGGATGCCCCCGACAAATTCCTTGCCGGATCCGATGGTCTGGTTCCAGGATCCTTCTTGGCGTGCAGGGTCATTTTTGGTTACGGCGCCGGAAGAGGAGGCGCTGATGCCGCCGGCGGAGAAACCGGCGTGCGAGGCGTCGTGTTTGAGGGCTGCTTCGTCGTGTTTTTGGGCAGCGGCGTGCTGAGTGGTGGGGTTAGTATGGGTGTTTGTTGTGTTTATTTGGGAGTGGGAGATATGGAAAGGAAAAGAGATAGATGAGAGGGAGACTATACCTTATCAGCAGGGTTACCAGTAATGGAACCCAGCGCCGATTGAGCTGCGCCAGAAGCAGAATCAATGTATGATTGAAGAGTTGAGGTGTTCTTGTCAGACATTTTTGCGTTGATGTTGTAGTTTGTTTGTTGATTAATTTATATTTGTGAGGTTATGGTGAAGTTGTAAAGTTGCGAGTTTGTTAGGTTGCTTGTTGATGATGATGGGGAGTCAAGGGAGGTGCTTTGAGCTTACCTATTTATCCAAATTGAAACTTGTGATGCAAAGTTATGACGTCATGACCCTAAATACTGGATAAGGACCTCGGCAACTTTCCTAAACAAAACTTGGATCGTGCAACAAATCATCCACCGGAAAAGTGACAACTTACAAGAAATTCCTTAAAAATTCAAGTTGATATGATGCAATTATTAGAGACGTAATTCAAATATCAATAGAGAAATGTAGACGGTCAAATCCGGGTTCGTGTATCGTAGCTGGAGGTAACTTATAAGTAATAATAACCCTAGCCCTAAGACCCCGCGACTCAAAATAGAAACTTTCATTTGTACAACATGGGGCTTCTAAATTCGCACCCACCCAGTGCTTAGGTATTACATGCTCATTTTGTGACAGCTGGAGATCACTACAAGTTCAAGTTCAGAGAACGATAATCGCACTGTGGCTAGTATAGTATGTATGTGTTTATGTGAATTTGGTAAGCTATAGGCAATTTTACAGTCCATGGCCTTCATATGTCTTTGAATCCCCAAAGACCCCCGGCATCTGTATTGACCTGTGGGTATCAAGAAAACCTCACCAACCACTCATAACTCCAGATGATACGTGTTGAAAAAGGTAAAGATTCCCCTTGTGCCAGCCATAACTCCATATCTGGGTATTTCGAAGAGCAAACTCTCCGTCCGCCATAAATCCATTGCTATTCATCCATTCGTATCCTGAACCTTCATTTGGTATCGTAAATTCCGTAATGCCGTAATGCCGTATCATTGTAAGTGTATACAAGTCGCATACCTATGCAAATAACGAACTGCTAATCGACTTGAGATGAAGTATTATTGGCAAGTCGAAAAACGTGATATATTAGAATGTCCAGAATTTCTGATACTTTGAAGAAGAGGGTGTATACTCACTGTCTTTGCATTAAATATGTAAGTAAGCAAAATAGCAATGAAGACCGAAAGCATTGTAAAATACATATGGTTGTAATGTTGTTTCTGAAGATTGGCAATCTGCTCCTTGAGATCGATATTTCGCTGGTTAAGATCGACAATGCGCCGGTCATTTCGCTCGTCGAGATCGTCAATTTGCTGGGCATGTCGCTGCTTGAGTTCGGCAATATACATGGCATTGGTAATTACCGGCATCTCGTCGTCTTCGTCGTCTTCGTCGTCGGTATTTAAGGTGCTATTTCTAGGAGGCTCCTTTTCAGAGTTTGTCAAGGCTAATGACTGCATATTGTTAGGAGAAGTCATGATTGAACTGATTGCAAGATAGTTGTGGATTGATACATTCCTTGCTTTGTGTTCGAGAAGCTTGAGAGTTTTATGTTGTACTGAGTGTTGGTCTGTGCTCCTGTTCCTGCCTTTAAGTCACCTGATGAACACCAATACACCAAGAAGTCTTGAGGAGCCTTGGAAGTTCTAATCAGGAACGAAAGCTTTGACCACTAAGCCGAGCCCTATGGAGCAGGGACAGGGACACGCAATTTGAAGGCCAATCAGCTCGCATTCCAAAAATACTTGCACATGAACATGATAAATTCACATGTAGAGATTCATTATACTACAATACAGCAAGGAGTTCTGTTGATAATAAAGTTGAAATGGCTTAGATCACCAGTAGCCAATGAATCTTTCCGACTTCTACTCGGTAGAAGAGAGTCAGTCAGGGCTGTCGGGTCCACGGGTATAGGTAATCCATAGCAGCTGGAGTCTATCTGTCCCGAATCCAGCCAAGGTTCAATTCAATCGAGCCACTAGGTATCAATTGGATGGATTTATTTTGAATGTCCTTGCCCAGGTGTTGAATCATTCACCAAATTCTGCCCTATCTTCTACTCAATCAACGCTAGTTGAAGTCTGGTCTAGTATAGTTCCATTGGACCACATCCCATGCCATACCCCGCCGAGTCTTTCCTTCCCAAATATAACACTACGGCACAGCAGCTGAATTGACTTTCATCTCCCCATATAGCATCCGACCTAGTTAGTAGTTATCTAGGTACCGGACCTAGGTAGTCGTGATGGATCTCGCGGGAGGGATCATATCATATCATCCCATCAACGCAATGCGGGGTATGACATCATCATCATCGGCATCTTTCCTTTGGAACAAATCCCTGTTCACATGATCCATGCTTTACCTACGAGTAGTATTAGTAACTTTTACCAAATCATAAAGAGGGGTCTCAGACTAGCCAACCCCAAGCGCCCGTCACAAACAAGGCTGAATACCCAAAATAGAGAATCTCAAGGGTTTCCAGGATTTTGAGGATTTTGAGACTTTCTAGCGTCATTCGAATCAGCTGGTTGCGTTTAGTGTGTTGTGGAACTTAATACATATTTTATACTTATCATTGTGGGCTCTAGAAAGCTTGGTAGCGGGGTTAAGAAAGCTTGGTCGGAGTGACATTTCTCTCAACTAATGATCATAAGATCTACGAATTGTTACTAGGAGATGTCATTCGAGATGAGACGAATGATCTACTGTGGTAGTGTTTTCTTATTACATCATTTTTGGGAAGGTTCACTGTTTTAGTAATTCCTGAAAAGTAGATCAAGTTTATTCATTATCTAGTAGTCGTTACTATTTACAGCACATAATCCTACCCAACCCAATATTCAGACACTAACTTCCGTAACCATAACCCCTGATTCCCATCTTGTCACCAACGGATTCTTCGTATCATCCGTTTTCCTCATCCTTTCCGTATCCCTAGTCTCTATAGCCCTAGTCTCTATAGCCCTATACCTCTCCTTGTCCCACTTCCAAATCCCACCCCCACTTTCCAAACTCAGTCCCTCTAGACCATTCACTAATCGTTCCGCAACTTCATCCCTTCCCACCTTGACGAAAAATCTCCTTTCCCAAACTATTCCCTTGGCCTTTTCCTTCCTCCTCAATTCTCTCTGTTCATTCTCTATCTTCCCTTTCTCTTTCCCAATTTGAAAGATGTCGTTTTCATTAATAGCTCGTGTAACATGACGCCAGGCTCTTCTCGATTCGTACTCCTTTTGCTGATCGATCGGCTTAACTTTTAGCGATTTCCTCTTCAACGAATGCACATTGAATTGCGATATGCGTTTTCCACTTCTCATGTCTTTGATTTTGGATTCCCCACTCCATTGTCCTTCAGCTTTATATATTGCAGTATTCTCGCGTCCATCTTCATATATGATTGCGGAGAATGTGTTAGGTGTTCCACTGATCCAGCCTTTCGAGGAATATGATATTCGAGTTGTGAAACCGGATGAGGAACGGATATAGGATGTGCCGCTCAATTCAGGATTAAGAGAGCCAGACATGATGCCGACTATATGTACAGGCGGCATAGTAATTAAATGTGTTTCATTGTGTTGAGAGAGGGTTAGAAGGGAGTAGCCGTTCCGTTCAATGTGTACCGTTGAGCTAAAGTAGGATTGTGGAGCGATGGTGCCTTGGAGCTAGAGGGAGAGTGTTAGTGTGAGACACAATCAAATTAACAAAAGACAGGAATATTTACTTGTACACCATGTTTTTCGTTCGAGATATTATATGCTGTAGCTGGTGGATGATGACTATCAATTGTTAGTAATGGTTTCCAATTTCTCTTTCCAGATTGTTAAAATCTTACCTGACTTGCTCAGCAACCAAATCTGTTTTCCCGGTACCCTCCCCATCATCTTCCCAAGAACCCATAAAACACTCTCCTAAAAATGGATTGAGGGGTTTCATCCCCTTCTTCTTTCCATTTTCATCTCGATTACTATGCTGCCACTTCAATGTACTGATAAACCATTTCAATACTAATAATGCTCTTTCTTCAGCAGACTCTGATTTTGTGGGTGCGATGAACAGAGATGGGTGTTCTGCCCAGTAGGTAGGAAATTCGACGATTGATTGTGGAGAGAGGAGGAATGGAGGCGCTGTGAGCGTTGAAAGATCGCCTTTGAATGTTGCTATCGACTAAGGAAGAAATTGTCAGTATGCATTATATAATTATCTCGAGGGCAAATCTGTGCAGTGATACTATTCCTGCTGAACGCTAGAAAGCTCATGACGGGATATCGTCCATCAACGTACAGCTGAAATCTGTGCCGTCGATGTCCTGTCCACTGACCAGATATCGAGGACATGAATAATATGAGAAAGAGGATTTAACACACCTTGATGAATCCAAACCACGCACTTTTATGCTGTGGCGCAATCTTTTCTTCTGTGCACTTCTCCATATCTTCAGAGCCGACTATGCTTTGAAATGTATAATTCAGAATCCCTTCCTGACCAAGTTCTCAATAAATTCTGCAATGAAACTTCAATTGAACTCGTATACAAAACTGAAATCTACGAAGAATATAGATTCAGAAAAGCGACCCTTATTAATGTATGTCGTCTGAAGATGAAAAGATAAAAGTGCTCGGGCATAAATAGTTCCATATTCTATAATGAAAATAGAGCATAGCCTACCTCCTCACCTATGATCTGGGGTCATTGACTCGTAAAGTAGATTGCATAGCAGCATGGGATGGTTTTGCATCAAATTCGTCTGGAATGTATGCTTTCGAAACGGAATCTGCTTCATCCGAGACTGAAAGTCTGAAACTCTAACGTTTTTGCAGGCTGACATATCCGGCATTACCTGGTATTCTCGAGGTATTATTGCCTCGGTTGAAATTCGGATCAGACGATGACATTTGGAATTTCTCCGTATCTTTATTAATACGAAGTAGACTGCGATAATTATTGGTAGAGTGACATTCGTGGCTGTATTAATAAAACTTTCTTTTGATGTTGATGGTGGGGTAGTAAAAAGGAAACAAAAAGTTGCGTTAAGATAAAGATAAAGATATTCCCTGGAGAAGACGAAGCCTCTAATTTGCATGATTTCATGCAGTTTACCAACACTTCGCCTCACCGAGTATCACACAACATCTGCAAAATCATGGATCACATTCGTGAAGACATGTATGTAGAAATACATAAAAAGTCATAGAATTGAATAATGCTGCGATGAACAGCGTATGGGTATCAAATAAAATCCGGAAAGCCAAAGATCCTTCCTCCCCTCCTAAAACGCCATTTTAACCGTCTCTATCCTGTAGATATTCGATACCCATTCTGAGCAATCATACAATACCGCCGTCAAACCAACCACTCTAATGGGGTATCAATTCCTTCAGTTCTGTTATCCATTTCATCCTTCGATCTCAATGATCTCTTCAAAGACTCATGTCTTCGCTCCTTCTCCTCTCACAACTCCTCGTTCTGCGCTCCTTCAATTCTCTTTCCGTATCCATCAATCGTGTTTGAACCCATTTCCTGTATCTGATATCGCCCTTCACACTCTCACAGTTGAGTAGATCAGTCAAGGCAGTCTTGATTTGTTGGTTCACATCCTTCAATTTCTGCTCATCCTCCTCAATCACTTCAACGACTGTTTCATCTACAATTGCTGGTAGTGAATTGATCCTTTCCTCGCGGTGAAAATGTTGCGTGTGGCCGAAAGAGGGTGGAAGACTGCCCCTGCGGGAGCTGATATTTGGGACAGGCGAACTGAGAGGTGAAGTTGATGCATCGCTAGCAGTACTGGTGTCTGAAGAGACGGAAGAGACGGAAGAGTTGCGATGACGATCAGTATATCCGGTGGGACTCTCGGGGATGGAAGCAGTGACTTGGTTGATGTGCTTTTGGAGAGCATCGTGCTGAGAGTGGAGGAGCAGATATTTCTGCAGAGCAAATGCTCTTTCAGGCGACTTTTGCATTGTAATTAAAGGTGCCATTCTGTGTTGCCAGTTGTGTTGTGCTGTGCTGTCGAGGTTTGATGTTTGTTGAGGGTATATGTTCGTGTTGTGTATTTATATACTTGATAAGGGAGGGGCACAATTTTGAGTTCGACTTATCAAAGGGTCAAGACAATATCAAAGTGGCCGTGCTGCACAGTTTAAACTTTGATGTGAATAGAGAATAGAAGATTGATTTATTTCGAGGAAACCTCAAGTGAATGGCAGCAACATATATCTAAAACTTAATGATGTGACGTAGCCATTTTTTGATACATGTTACATCTTCCAACGAGAATCCTAACATGCCGGAGCAAAGCTCCGAGTGGGGTGGTCTTTCTTCATCTATTTCTTTGAAGTTTGTATAGTCTATAAGACATCCACTCTCTAGTAATCTAAGTGTAACGAATTGAGAGAGGGGTCAGCAAATGATCTACATGGCATTTGCGAGATTTTTTGTTTACCATTATTTCACCTTACACAATCCTCAAACTTCTCGACCAATGATAATAAAGGAGGATGACAACTCGGGCCACACGCACCGCCACATACGGACCGTTACCTGTGGCGTCATTTCCTGTGAGGTCAAAAAGATAACAAGTTTTCCCTTTATTTCGCCTTGGTAGTGGATCTTGAAGTATATGCATGACGATCACTTACCCGGTTTTTTTGTTTTCTTTATCGAATAAGGTTCTTTCGCCCTGGCATGTGGTCAACATTTCTTCCCAAAACATGGTCCTGGTAATTTTAGAATCTGTCTGATTAATTATATAATGTGTATTTCAGGGGAAGGATTTGCGGCGACACGTAGTAGATATGTAAAGCATCGATCGATCGCAATATGGTTCATCGAGCCTTCCAGCCCTTTTCTTCCGAGCGTGTCGCTTTTGATATCATTCAGGAGTAAACCTCCTCAAACTAGGAGCGAACCTCCACCGGGCTCCTAAAAAAAAATCCTTCTTAAAAAGTCTAGTGATGCACACTTCGGAGAAGAAGTCAAGACTCACGAGTCACAAGAGCTGAGTGTATCGTTATGATGTGAGCCTAGATGAACGGTCTGTAGATAACGACAAAAAGTCGGGGGTCTCACGAGTTCGAGACCTTGAATGTGAATGTGAATGAATGTTTGAGCACTTGTCCAATCTCCATAGTTCTTCTGCAGGTAGAAGCGTCGAAGCGTGTATGAAAGGCAGGAGACAGCGATAAGGCACATTAGCTGAAAGTTTAAAACCTGATGTGCTCTTCCTAGCGGTAACAATTTTACACCAAGCCTATTCGCGCTACCAGAAAGTATACAACTCCGCCGCCAAGGAAACCAGGTTAGTCCTCTTGTAGTTCATCACCTTGTGATATGTCCATGTAGCTTCGGAGTTGTATACTTTCTGGTAGCATGAGCATGTCGTAGGGCTACGTACTAGTTTTGATACCATCAAATCTATGATACTGAGCCACTTCTGCCCTCTACGGATAACCACTGGTGAACCTTAAGATATGAATTGTTCTGCACACATCTAGATCTGTCACATGGAAAGTTGATTATGCTTGCGTGTTTTCTTAGGCCAAATGTTATCGCATGTTTTTGCTAGAGTATTTTGCGAATTCCTTGGTATCTAGAAATACCACTACTTATGGAGCCCCTTCTAGAACTATGTCATCCTTCCAACCAATCTCAAGGCAAGAGGTTCTCTTCCAACTCTCACCACCAGATTGTCTTCCAACCACAAAGCTCCCTACACTATATTTCCGGCTCAATCCCGGCTTGATCCAAGATCAAAATCACTTGTCCTTCCATTAATCTCACCTCGCTCAGGTTCTCTCATTTTTCCAAGTTTGCAATTCCTTCTCCAACGGAACCACGACATTTCGCCATATTGCTTCTCTGAAATCAGGGGTTTCCAGACTTTTATTTACAGGCATAGGTTGGAAAAAACAGAACACACAACTACTGACGGCTTGAACATATCCTGCAGGCATATTTTCCAAACTTCCATTCTCTTTCACCCATCTCTCAGCCACAATAAGGTCGGTGCTTGAGTTTGGAACACCGTTAACCAGATCGCTGGAGATTCGATTAGTTCCGCAAACCAGAGTTCTAGGAGCATTATTCCGAGGCATAAGACACTAATGTTTGGGTGAGTGGGAGTGGGAAGCGAATTCTGCGGGGTAGGACTGGTAATACCGCTGGAAAAGAACTTATGAGCAAGTAACAGACGTGCTATATCTACAGGACGGATGTTTGGACTGCTTCTGTCAGACAAGAACAGAATCTCGCTTTTATTCCATCGCTCATTGAACCAAGGAGTGGCGTGGAGCTGAAGTAGTGATTCTCTCAGGTTTGAAGAGTGTCGTGCTACTTGTAGGATTTTCGAGAAGGATACACACCATGCTGTTCCCGGAGCAACTTTTTTTTCAACGAAGTTATGAATCATGTAGCACACATTTCTGGATATAAGGAGTTCCACATCGGCAGGAATAGGCAATGAGACTCACTTAATTTCTACGGGCAGCTATCTAGTATCAAGGCTTCGATCTATTATGCTAGAGAGACTAAAGAGTGGCCTGCGAGTTTCCTGTCTATGTATTTACGTGAGACTTCTCCTTTGATCTTATAAAATCGACAATCTTTAGTTTCGAATGCGATACTATTCAAATTGTATCCCTTGACACTACGAGAGGGGGAAACTCTGTCTGCAACGAATTTCACTATCAGAAAGACTGGAGATTTTAATGTAGAAGTTTATGAGAAAGGCAATATCCATGAGCCAGAGGACAGCTACCAATCGTCCATCCTGAAAAAGTAAGTATTTGAAGAAAATATCCTTCATATATGATAATGTATTTCAACGTATGTGTTCAGAGACGATACCGCTTTACGATTCTATTCGTTAAAATAATGTTTGATTGCCACTCCTTTTGCGACTAGTCAAATACCAATTATCTAGCCAATTTCAGCTCTCTAAAGTTAAAAACAGCTACTCTATCCTGCCAGCCAAATTGAAAAGGGCCCTCGTAAGTAAACACTACATCTTTCAACCACGCAAACATGTTTTAATCATCCTCTATCTCTTCGGGAAACATTGTACCATTACCACTGCTTGTTTGTTTTTCGATATCTCCTCCACCAATGCGAACAATTGCATCCGGAGATGAGAAGTTTATATCTGATTTCGATCCAATAAACGGCTGAGGTTTTGTGAACACGATTTTGCGATGTGGTTCTAAGAGAGATTTTCTCTGAGTTGTTGTTGTTGTTGTTGATGCATTGATCTGAGAACCTGAGACAGCCATCATAGAAAGTGAGTCAGTCTTTGGAGATGAAGATATACTGGCATTTGGGATTCTGAAGTTTGTTGAGTCTACTATAGAAGTTCGATTGTTTGAACCCGAATTCTTATTAGCTTGATCGTATTCCTCTTCGTACGGACATGGAGTACTCCTATTTCGGACCGCAGCTCCTACAGGGTCGCGATTAACACTGGACTGATAAGCAAACGTCGAGTAATTGGAGAACTGGCCAAATTCGTTCCTATACACGCTGCTGTTTCCCTGCTGTGGATCTTGCCATGTGTTGCGAGCACTCGCTTGCGCAACATATCTAGGTTGCAATGGACTTTCGGAATCGATTGAATTGTGCACGAAGGTTGAAAAGGTTGGCGAGGGTTCCCTTTTCTCGAGCTTGCGTCCTATGGATGTAGTCTTTTTCAGTACTGTATTCTCCTCTTCACTAGCATCATCAAAAACAAATTTCATCCAGAGTTCGTTTGGGTCTGCTTTCTTTTGGATAACTTGCGTGGGACAATCCTTTATTTTGCTGGAAGTTTGATCAGCCATGGAGATTTGGTCGCGGTTTGTTGCAGTCTCCTCAAATTCAGCGAGTTTTTTGTTGGCGATAGACGGCTGCTGAACCAGGAAAGTTTTGGAACAAGGGGTACTGAGAAACTTGCTGTGAGAATGCCTGGCTATGCAAGGACTTGAGCTCCTAGGAGGATTCCATGGAACGCTTGAAGATGTTCTCTGTGAAGATCGAGTGTTTTGTGGTTCGATCGTGATATCGTCCGAAGGAAGCAAATCTCTGTTATATACGGCAATAGACTGCTCTTGTATCATCGAGCTTTCACAGCCTCCCCAGGACTCGGTATGCTCATATTGTCCACCGAAATCCTCATCATTAGACCTTGAGCCACTGAAGGTCTTCTCACGAAAGGCTGGAATGGCACTTATTCCCGGACTTATCAACACACTCCTACCCTTCAGATGTTCTTCTTCTTCTCCCTCTTCTTCCCCTTCATCGTAGTAATTCTTGTGCTCTGTGTCTTCTGTGGATGGTGGTATCCATGCCCTCCACATCTCATTGTCCATCAATTGATCTTCGGAAACCACACTTCTCAAGCCCCCGACCTGTGCAAGCACACTACTGTTACATCTAGGCGAGCTTAAGTGGAGAACCGGATGCTGTGTAGGACGAATAGGCATTGGTTGCTTCATTCTAGTATCGCAAATCGATCTGACGACTGTGCGAGAAAATGGTGATGCTTTACCTCCAAACTCATTTGGAATTCCGTTTCTGTTGACTATGTCAAAGAGCGGTTCACGTCTTGTATTTGGATGCTTTTCTCGGTTTATACTTGTACCATAAATATCCGGGCCTCCGCTCGATGGAATTATCCTCGTCCAATTGTCGTCCTCTTCATTGCCATTTATTCTTGCTTCGAAAATAGAAAGAAATCTGGCACTATTCAAATCTTCCTGGTTCTCCATGGTATACTCATCGTCAAGCAACATATCATCCGATGACAAAATCCGATGCTTCATGCGCGGTGTAGACTGGCGGACTACATTAGTCGGCCGGGAACTCGAACTTATGCCTGGCGGAACAATCCTGCCACCAATCGAAATTCTAACGTCATTTTTCGGCAGCCCTCCTTCGATGTAACCAGCTTCTTGTTGCTTCCGCATTTGAATGTTTCTTACGGCAAATGGTGAGCTGATTCTTGTCTGAAGTTTGCGATATCGTGCTCTGTGCCCGGCCTTAACCTTCCTTCTTCGCCCAATATCTCCATCGTGTCTTGGTTGGTTGAACTTTAATTTCGGCAATTGATGAATATTTAGACCAGCCCAGTCTTTCTGATTCAATAGATTTCGTCTTCTTTCTTCCATAGATTGTTCTATTGCTTCTCGCGCCTCGTAGTTTCGCGGAGCATCTCTAAGCTCTGGCGATGCAGCATGCTCGCGCTTGATTCTCAATGGTGGAGGTGTTGCATTGTATAAGTCGTCGTCGGCAATGGAACTTCTTTGGACGAGTTCAAATGATGAAGAACGATTGTTTTTCTGCTTATATTGAAGCTCTTTGCACAGTGGAGTTGATATGAGCTCTTTGTGTTTGTAGAGATCAGAAAAATGTTCTCGCTCGACTTCATTTCTCCCTCTTTCCTGTCTTGCGCTGTACTCAGAATTGTTCAGAGAACCAATATGATTTTCAAGCAATTGTCTGTGTGGTTGTTCCACTACGATGTTGTCGAAGATTGTCCATTTAGTGGTAACATTCTTTTGACTTCCAGTTCTTAAGTTGGCCTTCACCTTTGCGAAGTGTTCCTTTTGTCGTTTGGTCAAGGCACCGCCGCTGCTGCCACGAGAAGATTTTCCAGAATGCCTTTGCAGGCGCCCTCCTGTCCAATTCATTAACAATAATTATTTGATTTATTCAATGAGATGATTGGATAGTTGTTGATATTACTAGGTATGTTTGGATGAAATTGTAATAATGTGTTGATGTTTGTCAGAAGTAACCTTGGAAAGCATTCATTGCGACAAATTGACATTGACAAATTGGTAGCGAAGTCAATTTTCCAGCTCACTTTCATTCAATTTTAATCCACTTGTATGTCTTATTGAGTACGTAATATAATAAGGAGTAAACTTCTTGAAGAAGTCGCTCAAATATCTTTTCAAATCTCCGACTCTAAATAAACTTACTTAAAACTTTGAAGAGTTGTCAATCTTTATTCTCGTCAAGTTCCTCTACTACAACAGCTCACCACTCGGATCGAACTTCTTCTAGTTGATGACTTTTGGTTATCTGCGACCAGACTCACCTCTATATTGGTTTGCCAATTCACACAGTCAGTATTATTCTCTTGCCAGGTTCACTTTTTCAATACGCCTGCTATTCCAATCTCACAATCCGAATTACTAATGTGTTTCTTATAGATTTTTGAAAAATGACTTCTGTCTCTGCTCCCGTTGTATCCGATCGCAATGCGACATTCTATTCATTCCCACGGTTACCCTTAGAAATTCAACGAATGATTTGGAGAGCTGCACTTCCTGGACCAAGAAATGTCGCGCTGAAACGTTTCTGTTTGAAGGCTCCCGAGTATCCTATTGTTCTGTAAGTCCTGCTTCGCCTATGATATCGAGTTCTTGGACCTCGCTATGGTTATGTCACTTGCTAATTTAAAGATCAAAACCCAACAGGTGGCGCACCTCCCTTGACCAGGATGCAGGAGCCATTAGAGGGTATGCGTCCAGAGACTCAAATCCAACAATTTTCTACACTTGCCAGAGAGTCATTAGAGGTTGCTTCCGAGACCTATACGCTTACCTTTGGCTCATTGGGAGTCGGACCGCGAACATGGTTCAACTACGACATAGATTTGGTTCATCTTGACATGTCATTCATCGGTATGATCGTAAAAAACGTCTGTGACAACATCGCCAACGTTATCGGCATGCCTGCGGCGACCATAGAATTTCTCTCATTAGACGAAATTGACGATCTAGACGATGCCACCGAAGGGGTTTTCGTGAAACCAGAGGTAGATGGCATATCTCCTTCAATGCGTCTTAACATCGACTTGATGAAAAAGTACAGGCACTCGTCCTAGATCGACTACCTGCAATCGCATATTTTATAAATAAAATGATTTCACTATGAATGGTTTCAGTCACAAAATTTTTTATGGCCAGTCCACGATATCCGAAGAGAGGACGGCTTTCATATTTCAGAACCATCGCATCAAAAGTTGTTTATAGGTCATATTTATCTCGAAAATTCGCTGGCTTCAGTGACTTGATACGGAAATATTGGGCTAAAGACAATGGAAGGACACCACAGGCTTTAAGAATCTGGTATCTGGGCTCTCGAAGCATAGTCAAAATCTCAAATGGAACAAGAACATTTAGTTGTCCATGGGAGAATAGCTAGACTAAACAGAAAATACAAATCGAATTAGCCCTGAAGCACGTTGTCATATGTCTCTGATTTTACTCTCCATTGATCAGTATTTCTTTCTGTGTGGCTCGCTATATATAACGTCACATTTTAAAGTCTGGAATCATGGTTCTCGCGAAAATATTGGATTGGCGTAGAGTTTCCTGTCTTCTGTGTCGTGTCTTGTCTTACTTGCGTTGCTTGTGTGAAAGATAAGATGTCAGCTCTATACATCTCGCTACTTTAGAACGACTATGGGTAGGACTACATCCGCAGATTTTCCGTTGCACTATTATACCTAGGTTAGCTTTCTCTCATATTAGACAATAGGTAATTCTCATCGAACAATTAATTGAGCAAGCTCTTTTAAGTAGGTGTTGATACCGGATGATGTTGATATGACACTGGAAGTAAAAACTCCTTGAGATCATCAAAAGTTCAACTATTATTGCCAATTGAGAAAACTGATAACTCAGAAAGCCACAATTTCTTTTCATACCTAAATAAACGTCATCAACATACACATCCAACTCTGCACTGAGCCTTCCACGCAAGGCTGAACAAGACCCCAATCTCGGCACCCAAACCCCTGCATAAACCCTGCATATGCCACGCACGAGCCCCATGTCTCAAAATCGGACCCGCAAACAACCATTCAGGAACCACGCGGCTGAGCTACTTCCAAGACCTCTCATCATCAATCTCACTGTCAACGGCTAGCAATCATTCAGCCCTCAACTTACGATATGTGAACTCGAAGTTCACATAGCTCACGCTGGCATCTTCAATAGATATTCCACTCGAAACAATGGCATCTTCTACCGCCGAAGAACCTCTCTTGTCAAATCAGTACGGCGAGGAAGAGGAGAATGAGGTGGATGACGATGTCTCATTACTCCTTGAGAAGAATTTGAGCAAACCTGGGCTGTTTGTTTGGTTACTTGCATTCTCGGCAGGTATTACTGGGCTATTATTTGGATGTACGATTTCCTCTCTATTTCCCAGACTCCTTTCAATTCACATCAAAGTTATATCCGGAAATATATCGTAACTAACAATATATGAACCAGACGACACTGGCGTAATATCCTCCACTCTAATTAGTCTCCATACTTCTCTCGGTCGCCCCCTAACAACCCTCGACAAATCCTTAATAACATCATGCACCTCTCTCTTCGCCCTCATCATCTCTCCCCTTTCCGGCGTCCTCGCTTCCTCTCTCGGTCGCAAACGTGTTGTCCTTCTAGCAGATCTAGCATTCGTTCTTGGCGCACTCATCCAAGCGTTTACAACCACATTATGGGGCATGATACTCGGGCGAAGTATTGTGGGACTTGCAGTCGGAGCAGGTAGTTTTGTTGCTCCGTTGTATATAAGTGAATTAGCACCAACTATGTGGAGAGGCAGATTAGTGGTGTTGAATGTACTGTTTATTACATTGGGACAGGTTGTGGCTTATATTGTCGGTTGGGCTTTTGTAGAATGGGGGAGTTTAGAGACCGGGTGGAGGTGGATGGTCGGTTTGGGCGCGGTGCCTGCAGCGGTACAGATCTTAGTTATGCTGTTTATGCCGGAGACGCCAAGATGGTTGATACAGGTTGGGAGGGTAGATGAGGGAAGAAGTGTCTTGAGTAGAGTTTTTGGGAAAGGGACTGAGATGCAGAAGGTGGTAGATGAGGTTTTGAAGGGAATCGAAAGGGAAGTGAGAGAGGAAGATGAGGCAAAAAGATTAAGAGAGATGGCGAGGAAAACTAAGGGGTCGGAGTACTCTTGGATAAGTGACGCGAAGGATAGCTGGGAAGAATTGATAGGTGTTGGAGGAAATAGGAGAGCTTTGACAATTGCCTGTCTTCTGCAAGGTCTTCAACAGTTATGTGGTTTCGTAAGTACAATCCTTCTACCCAGTACAAACTTAACTGACCCAAATCTCCTAGAATTCCCTTATGTACTTCAGCGCCACAATCTTCACTATTGTTGGGTTCTCGTCTCCAACCCTTACATCTCTCTCCGTCGCACTCACAAATTTCATCCTAACCTGTGCCGCTCTCATGCTCATTGACCGCATCGGTCGTCGTCGTATCCTCCTCATTTCAATACCAGTAATGGTTATAGGACTCCTCCTCTGCTCCATAGGGTTCCACTTCATGGATCTCCCTTCTACCCTCTCCTCGACTACCACTACATCCTCTTCCACCTCTACCTCTCGCATTCCGCCTCTCATAATCCTAATAGCAATAATGCTCTACACCGCAGCCTTTGCCCTCGGTCTCGGAAACGTCCCATGGATGCAATCCGAGCTCTTTCCCCTCTCAGTTCGCTCCCTAGGCTCTTCGCTCTCTACTTGTACAAATTGGTCGGCAAACTTCATCATAGGACTTACATTTCTGCCAATGATGGAGCAGCTCACTCCGACGTGGACGTTTGTTGTGTATGCGGTGGTTTGCGCGGTTGGATGGTGGGCGATTTGGTGGGTGTATCCGGAGACGAAGGGATTGGGATTAGAGGAGGTAGGGTTATTGTTGAGAGATGGGTGGGGTGTTCAAGGACAGAAGGGGCAAGAGGGAATGAATGATGAAGAAGAGAGGGAGGAGAGAGGGTAGATGAGTCTGGACGAGATTAGACAAGATCAAATGGGTTTTGGCGCTTATAGCTTTTGATGGGTTGATGAAGATATTTCTTGCAGGCATAGAGTATATAAGACCCTTGACAATAGACATACTAAGTATTCGAACTAGCAAATTGCACATAATCATGGTTACACAGATCAAGGACTAGAAATTGGTAGTTGTGACTTCTTGTGATTGCAAAACATACTTATTGACTAAGCAAATGTTGACTCACTAGTTTCATTTCCCATTATTATTTGTTAGATTTCCCTTAAGACCCCACCCCCTGAGCCCCCTAAATAAGCGACCTAGCTATCCGTCCTCCCATCAAAAGCAGATTAGCCTTGAGAAACCTGTCTGCTGTTCATCCGGGCAAATGCCAGCTGCAAAAAATCCATACATGCAGAAAATATGGGTATATATGCCCTTCCTCGCACGCAACAAAGCAAGCAAGCAATCCAAGTTCACACGTAACACCTATACCAGCAGAAATATGCGCGCTTCAATCCCATCGGCTCTTCTACATGATCAAGAAACTTGTTTGGGGATAGGAGGTCTACCTCTTCCTCTTGCCGCAACCGGCGATTTCAAGGTTGAAGTAGCCGCTGGTGATGTACGGACATGTTTAACAGCTTTAACAGCAGGAATGTCATCATCTGAACTCGACCAACCTTCCTCATCTGATTCTTCGCTGAAACTCTCCTTCCTGACTGTTTTGGATAGACCTGAGTTTTTCGTTCCCAAATCATCATGTTCGGATTCTGACTCTGATTCTGCTTCTGATTCTATGAGTCGGACGACTGTGGGACCTTTCTTCGCTGGCTTGTTGTTGCTATCGTTATCAGGACGCACGACTGTTGGTCCGTTCTTGACAGGCTGTGCTGAAATACTCCTATTGCTTGATGACGAAGCTTGGCCATTAGGAGCAGGTGAGATGTTGTCTTTCAATGAGCTGTTCTGGGCATCTGTCGCTAAGTTAACCACCGTCCCGGGAATCTCATTATGGCTTATAGATTGTTGGCGTGAAGGTACAGTTGAAGATGTTCCGGAGACAGTATTTGGTAGAGGAATTGAATCGCTAGGATATGTATCATCGACGGGAGTGAACAACGGTGATTGTTGGGCTGAACTGACCAATTTGGATGACGTATCCTTGGCGCTTGGTGTGGCTGATTGTCTTTGCTGTTGCTCCTCCATCTTCTTTTGCTTGGATTGTTGCGAGACAATCTTCAACTTCTTTCCTTTGAGAGCAAGCTTCTCACGAAGTGAGAGGAACTGGTTAGGTTTACCGACTATAGAATTGGAGCCGCCGGGCGGTGGAGGCGATTTAGACGACGATGGCGATCGCAATTCGGGCATTGCTTGAACGGGGCGTGTATTTTGCGGCTTCTTCGGCGGTCGACCTCTTCTTTTCTTGACAACTAATGGCTCTTCGATAGATGCACGAATAGACTGCTCCGATGATCTTGTTTTGTTAGTTTCTGGTGATGTAGCATCATTGTCAGAATTCTCGGCCATTTTATCATTTGTTTGGTCTCCACCTTCAGACATGTCAGGGCTGACTGGACTAGCGACATGTTCTGCATCGTTTCCAAAACGACTACCATCACCGATTTCCCGGCCATAGTCGTTGCCAGATTGTTCAGACTCATCATCTGAAATATCAACGTGCAACTTCGACTCTCTTGATACCATGTTTTGACGAGTTGCTCGCGTCTTCTTAGGCCGGTCCTCAAATGGATCATCACTATCTGCTTCGGCTTCGCTTTCGTCACCGGGAGCATTAGCAAGAGTTCGTCGAGTAGCTCTAGACTTTCTTTCAAGTGGCGCACTGTTGCGCAAGGTTCTGGTCCTCGTGGCTGACCCTTCAGAGCCATTATCTTCCTGATCATCAACGCCATCGTGTCTTGAAAGCCATTTAGATTTTCGAGGATGTTTGATAGATGCAGGTGACTTTGATGGCTTAGAAGAGGAATCCACACTAGGAGAAGCCGCTATTTTGGATGCGAGGCTTGGACGACCACGCTTTCTCTTTCCATTGGTCACGGGTGTAGAGCCAGCTGTCTGGGTTGTCTGTTTTCTGGCAAAATAATTCAAAGCCTTTGCAGCGAGATCGACATCATCTGCTACCTTACCAGAGCTGCTAACTAAACTCTGCAAAGTTGGCTGTGGTTCGTCGTCTTCCTCCGAGCTTGTCAAATTCTCTACATCCGCCAATGATGGCTCAGTATAATCCTGTCGCTTGTTGACACGCGAAGGGCGATGTTCAGGTTTAGAGATACTGTCTTGCTCTTTTTCTTTGTCAACCGGTTCCTTGGGTTTGACCTTTCGTTGACGCTTGGAAGCAAAGAATTCCACATCTTCCTCGTCATCCTCAGGGATGCCTTCAGAATTGAAGCGTTTTCTCTTTTTCGTAACACTACGGAACTGATCAAGTGAAGCTAATAGTTCTGCAGGATCAACAGTTGGCACATCAGCTGGCTCTGAGTCAGATTTCGGAGAATCATAGAGAATGCCGTCTAGCCCAATTTCTGTTGGGTAGTAATCACCACCCATCATGTTAGCAGGTTTAGGTGTTTGGGGATTAGGTAGCGGAACCTCCCTAGAAACCATAGGTGCCACCGGTGCCACCGATGGTGCCAAGAGTCTTGATGGGTATTGTGCTGCTCTACTGGGACCGTGCATATCGGCATGGTAGTCATCATCTAAATCATGCTGTGCATCAAGAACTCCTAATTGCTGATGAAGCTGCTCGTCAATAGTATATTCACGGGGCTCCTGAGTCTGATCCCAAGGTGGATGGAATCCGTTGATTTGATTTTGGGCTGATTGATTCAAGTCGTCACGAAGTGAAGGATCGATATCTGCCATATCGTTAAAATGGCTATCCTCTGGTTCGTCCGCTCGATAGAAAGCTTCTTCCTCATATCCCAGGTAACTATTATCAATAACATGCTCCTGTGCTTTATCTTTTTCAGCTTTCTCACGCAACCTCCTCATTCTCCCGGTTTCTTCAGAATTCGGCAGATTTTCATCTTCGTGCCTCAACCAAGTAAGGTTTGTTTTGGAAAAGTCAACTAGACTCTCAACACTCCTGTAGTCAGCCACCTTTTTGGTATCATGCCCAAGAAGTGTTCCCTTGGGAGTATATGGTGTTTGTTTCGCATCTCTTCGACATCTTGCGCATGAGCACATCTTCAAGCATTTTGGACACTCCCAGTTTTCCATCTCCATTACCGTTTGAGGCATCATGTCAAAGGCTCGCCATAAAGTTCCATAGCAATAGGATGAGGGGCAAGTGGTACAATGCGCGGATTGCCAATTCCAATGATGATTGCAGCAGATATGACAAGCACTTGTCTTGTTCTTAGTGGCCTGGATTCTACCTCTTCTAGAAGGCTTTCTATATGGTTTCTTTAGGCGCCCTTCATCGTCAGCTTCTGGCTCAACATCCGACTCACCATCTAACGGCTCTATTACATCTGGCTTCGTGATGTCTTTCCATGGCCGGATGGCAAGTTGTTCTTGACATATTTGAGCAACAGTTTTCTTGCCAATTTTATCTCTTTCCTCCTCTAAAGTTTTAGGCGAATCTTCGTGAAGAGGTTCAAAACTTAATACCACACCGCGCCATAATTCATAGTTTTCTTTGAGTTCAGTCTCCTTCCATTGCTCAACCCACTCCAAACAAGAGATACAAGCACATGAACGACCCATGGCGTAACACTCCATACAAATATCATAGGTATCTTCCTCACCTGTAGGTGCTGTGAGAATACATGACTTGCAAGTCAGGAAACGATTGAATATATTGCATCGGCAATATGAACAAGTAACATTTGAATCGTATTGAATAAATTCAACGTTCTTCTCAGGACGTGAGCGAGAAAACAGCTCACTGACAAGGATTTCTGTGTATAATTTAAACAAGCGTTTGAAATCTTCCATAACCTGTCGGATTCGACTTCCAGGTCTCATCCACATCTTCGGCTCCACCGTGTCTCGTGAAAGCATGCGATAATACTTATCTAGGGTGTAATAAATGATAGCCTTATTCTTGTATTGTTCATCGCGACAGACGAGACGGGCACGAGGAAGAGCTTCGTGGATGGCAAGCTCAAGCGTATCCACAGTGGTTCGATTCCATGCAGCTTTCATTGTCCGAGTTCCACGGTTCCAAACTTGGTGAGGAGCAAGAGGTGGAATCAGAATTAGATCACCAACCTTTTGCTCCGTAACCCAGACATTAAATGGGGCTTTTCTCCAGGCGTTCAGTTGTGCGAAATGCTTCTCAACTTCTATATCGTGGCCAAGTTTGGAAACAAACCATTCCGATACCATCTCTCTTTCTTTGGATTCCGTCATAAACCAAATCGAACTGCCAGGGATCTCCCCATCACTTCCACCCGAGGTTTCAACCATAAGATTGTGTCCCAAACTTGCGCACATTTCTCTGTGAGCTGGAGTGTAAGTACCTTCGTGACCAATATAACACATCATATTCAAAGCTCGCATATCTGTCGGCAGACTGCTCATTAGGTCACCTGCAGGCGCAACTCCTTTTCCAAATCGCATCTGGCCAAATTCATTAGGTTCGCGGATCGCTCCATCACCACCAGTCCGCGACTCGATACAATCGTTTAGGTAGAAAAAAGCTTCCGGCAAGACGTCTTTCAAATTTTCTTCCCATTCAGTAGGGCAATCAATATCTTTTAGGTATAGTCGCTGTCGTTTTGGGTCCCGGTAGGTCTGAGGGGTGAATTGATTCGCCAGTTGACCCATGGAACGTAGGTAATGTCCCATAGTCATTTGAACATCAATGCCGCTGGTAATATCTCGAACCTTTTGTACTGAAAGCAAAGTTAAGCTTAAGAAATGTTTTACTGAAAAGAAAATCGATCTACCTACCCTCTCTGCCCAAATTCTCCTCTAGCCATTGCGACGAGTATAGCCATGGTGGCATATATGAGCCCCATCCTTCAAGAATTAGAGGTCGACCTTCTTGGACAACATATGAATATACTAATTGTTCCAAACTTTGTACAGTGTGTGCTTCTAGATCAGACTGAGGAAGTCTGCGGACGTGGTCGAAGCTCGCATTATCCTCGACTAGAGCATCGAGATCAATATTGGGTGAAAGAGGTACGAATTGTGCTCTTGGATGCTGTTGAGAAGGCATTGCGACAAGCTATATTGAACCGTAGTTGTACGTCTTAGATACCGCGAGATGGACCCTATAATAAAACCAGCTGGTGTCGCATAGTTATCATTGCTCGATATCTGGTGTATAATGTATGCTCGGACAATATGGACGTCGGTGGTGATCGATGCTAAAGTCAAGGCCAGTCGCGTTCGTATCGACAAATCAATATCACAAGCTTGATAACGGGCGAAAGCAGCTGAAATAGGTATCCTGTGCGCGAATTAAAAAACAACAACTCAAGCCCCTTAGGAAATTCAGTTGAAGCTGTTTTGTAAGTTGTGTGAAGATGATTACGAAGTGGATTATAAAAAGTGGTAGCTATTCAATGTACCAAATAGGTATGTGGTTGTCGCGATACGAAATTTATGAAGAGTTCCAAGTGTAGGGAGACGCGAGGCTGCTCTGAGTTTCCTTGAGATAACGCGCTAGTGGATCAATTCCACCAATTCCGGCTACAGTACAATCAATCATTTATCATTCATTGTCATTATTTGTCAGAATTTCGGGAAATGGAAAATTGGTAAAAAGTGGATGTATTGAAGATAATTACATTAGAAATTGGTATTGATTGTGTTAAGGTGAGTTTATTCATTCAGTTGCAAACAAGTTGCCATTTTTGTTCACCAGCTATCCTCAAGTCGTGGGCTTATTGTAGGAGTGAGAAACACCGTTCTGGTCTTCATTGAAGTTCAGTGTATCAAGTGATATACATAAAGCTCTAGTTTGCGTACAAGAAGTAATACACCTTTATCTATCTCGAAGAGTGCCCAATTAAGATAGCATGGAGTTTACCATTGGCTTGGCGAACCTGACAAAAAATTCTTCGCCCTGAGCTTCAATAGATGTGTCACCGTACTTGAGATTGACAAATTCGAGTGTGGTTTCAAGAAGGTTTCCTCGCTGGAAGCTACAGGAGAAGCAGTAGGTTTATATCAGACTAACGAACAGTAGTGGTTATTGCCCATCTCAGTCAATGATGTCTAGAAATGGCGTATTCAGCTTGCCAGGAAGCTGCCGGAATGCATTCTTTCAAAACATTTCCTGGAGTCAGAGACCCTCGCTCAAAATTCCAATCAGCTATTCCAAGATCACCACCTCCTCATATCTTAGTAGGAAAGAAGCAAGAAAGAATGTCGAAGCTCGATATGAAAGATATCACACTATCAAAGCACATGCCATTCCGACGACTTTAAACAATACAAAAAATTCGAACACAGATGCCGCTACACCATCACCGGTTATCACACCTTATGTACCGCCAACTACCGGCCTATTATCAAAACTTCCATCCTCCTGGGTACCATATGCTGAGCTCATCAGACTAGACAAGCCTGTAGGAACTTATTATCTATTTTTTCCATGTCTGTTTTCAACTTTATTGGCGGCTCCATTAACCGACCCCATGGTCTCGCCCCTGACCGTCATGGGAACCTCTCTTTTGTTCTTCAGCGGCGCCTTAATCATGCGTAGTGCGGGATGTACTATCAATGATCTTTGGGATCGAAATCTTGACCCCCATGTTACTCGGACTCGACTACGCCCTATCGCGCGAGGAGCTGTCTCTCCATTCAAAGCTTTAGTCTTCACTGGAGGTCAATTATTTGCTGGCCTTGCGGTCCTTCTTCAATTCCCATACCAATGCTTCTTCTACGCTACCCCGAGTTTGCTTTTCGTGGCTTCGTATCCACTAGCTAAGCGTGTTACTCATTATCCGCAGTTTGTCTTGGGGCTGACATTTTCCTGGGGCGCAATCATGGGATTTCCTGCTCTTGGAATCGATTTACTGTCCAATAGTGCCGCTATGACCGCAACCGGATTCTTGTATGCGTCGAATGTAGCATGGACAGTTTTGTACGATATGATATATGCGCATATGGACATCAAAGATGATGCTAAAGCAGGAATCAAAAGTATAGCATTACGACACGACGCTCAAACTAAGCAGATCTTGACCGGGCTCGCCATAACTCAGGTTGGATTATTGACAGCTGCCGGCGTTGCTGTTGGTGCAGGACCAGTCTTCTTCGTTGGTGGATGTGGAGGTGCTGCTGTTACTTTGGCTGTCATGATCAAGAAGGTTAACTTGAAAAGTGTGAAAGATTGTTGGTGGTGGTTTCTTAATGGATGTTTAATAACAGGCGGTACGATTTCCGCCGGCATTGGAGGAGATTACCTGATTCGATACGTACAGAGGGCTGACAATGAGGTACCCGGGGTTGAAAATGAGCGAAGAAAGTCATCATATACTATACTCTATGACTACCTGTTTTAGTATGTAATACGATCAATGCTACTTCGCTGGTTATCCAGGGACATAACCTAGGGGAATGGTAGGGCCCGAAACTTGTTCTGCTTACGGTACCTATTAGTTTCTACATATAGGGCAAAGAAAGATATGTGTAATACCAGCAGGATTAAACAACAAAACAAAATCTTACCCAATCCTACCCTCACCAAGCACTGAACTCCTCTTCGTCTAGAATGCTCGAGACTCGAGATCGTGGCTCGGCAGCAGAGCTCCGATCAACGATGATCACAGCAAGTTGTCTGATAAGCTTTGAGATTCCCACAAAAAAAAGGGGACCAAGTTTTCATGCAAACCTCCGAGGGTCCCGAATATATCTCGTTTTTGCACTTAGCACTTACTGTGTTAGTTGGCTTGAGAAGTGTTTTTTCTTCTCACGAGAAATCCTTCTTCTAACCAGCTTGACCAATGAATTTATGTTTAAACTTTTCAAATGACATGCATAGAAACAGCCTACAATATAGCATTAACAAACCTGTTTCAATTATATTCATACACACATTCATATTCCAATAATCGAAAGATCCAACCATCAATCTCTTATCAGCCACCAACGTCAAGGGTATCATAACTGCCGAGAGACCCATTGCTTCCTCGCGTTCTCCAGATCTTTCACCCAATTAATGATGAGAACGAAGCTTGGACGATTTCTTGTTTTTATACTTTCGTGAATCCATCGGAACATTCTTACCGTACAGACATGCAGGTGGGGTGGTCTGCGCTCATTCGCATCGATGAAATCATTGACATTCACGACATTGTTGATGGAAACAAAGAAGAGAGAAGGATTATTATTTAATTGGAATGCACTACACTAGTTGGGTATATACACAACAGGTGAGGGGATGTTTTCAGCGAATGGAAATGTAGAGAGAGAGAATCTCTCAAGAAGGTTAGAATTAAGTTGGTATCACAGTTTTTGTTGCTGTACGAATGAGATGTAAGAACAAGGTTGCTGTAGGGTAGGTAGTGAAAATATGACGCCACATGAATGAGGGGAATTCGGACGTACACAGTCAGTCAGTCAATTGCAGTTGATTTCTTTCAGTAACTAACGAAAAAGACAAAAAATAAAGATTCATTCCATGGAATATTACAGAAATATCCCACATCCCCTCCCTTCCTCCCTCCATTCATACATAACAAAATCCCTACTCAAGCCATCTTCATCCATCTCTTATTTTCTTTGACACTTTCAATATCATTTATTGTGTAGTAGGTAGCTATCTAGTCCCTACCTATCAATACCAAATCCAAATACTCCACCATTCCGTCCCTCCCGCATAATCCGGATCCTACCCTTTCCACCATTTCCTTACGTTAATTAATATTTCACGCTGTACTTGATCCAGTAAAGCTTTCTTCAACAATCGTCATAGTCTCTTAGCTTCTTCACCAGTGATAACTCGGTCTTGTGTTGGTCAAGGAAGGTAACTTAGGAAAAGGCATCATTGGAGATTTGACATCCTTGGAGTCATCACCGATCATCATCGTCACACGAATTACAAACTGGATAGCGTAGAGCTTATTCACAGCTCTCATATACATTAAACTCCCTCTCCCTGAGACTTTGCTTCTTCATCAATTTACTCTTTTATATCGACAAACAGCTTTCGTATCAAAAGCTCTCAAGACAGAAATATCAACATATACCCTTCTCGCCCCATTCAACACCACAAAATCATTTCAAAATGTTTTCACTACCACAATTCGTTTTGAGGTTTCTCCAGTTTATCTGCGTCCTCATTGCCCTCGCTCTCGTCGCTGCGGCCATAGATGACCAGTTTTTCGGCAACTCAAGTGTGAACTGGGCCATGTTTGTCGCCGTTTTCTCGATGATTGTTGTTTTCTATGGAATGGCAGCCGCATTTGTAGAGTCGCTAGCACAGCCCATGATCCTGGGTGCTATGGACGGTCTCGCTACCCTTTTTAACTTCATCGCTGGTGTTGTTCTTGCCGCCAGACTCGGTGTACACAGCTGCAGTAACAGAGTAAGTTTGATTTCACAAGACGTCTTCGTAATGATCTTTGCTAATAAACATCTAGAGGTACCTCATCAGCAACAGCCTGACACAAGCAATGGGAGGAAGATGCCGGGAGCTCCAGGCTGCCACCGCATTCTTCTGGTTCGCTTTTGCTTTGTTCGCTGCGTCCATCGCCATGGATTTCATAGGTGGAGGTTCCAGCATGGCTCGTCGTAGCAATGTTCGCAAAAGCGCACCAACCATGTCCCAAGTATAAGCAACGAACTGGCAAACAATGGGTTAGTACTCTCCTCCATTTCAATCTTTCAATACTTCATCCCGTACTACCTATCGTCACTGTGTATCTCAACTAACAAATATATCAGATCAAGTGGCAACGAAAGCTTACTACTCGCGGTCAGGGTAATAGGATAACAAGTAGGGCTGAATGCCCATTTTGAATTGCGTTCAAGCGCAAAGCTATGCAAACGATGTTTATGTCTTTACGAGTTTAGCATAAGAAAGGCAGAAGGGGTTTTGGACGCTGTCTTTTGCTGTGTACAATATGTTCGGGAATATGGACTTAATAATACCATACTTAATAATAAATAAATGTATTCGATGTCTTATGATATATCATCCTGCAATCTACCATTATGTGTACAGCATCGAGCAGTTGACAGTAGGGTGTGTTATTTTTTTGTAACGAAGGAATATTGAAATAAGATGTGTATAGTTTGAAATGAACCATCAATCAAAAGCTGCGACTACTTCTTTCTATTTGCATGGAAATAAAGCCACTTCTGAAAAATGTGTTGATTCATTACCATATGTACTGAGTGAACTAAATCATATACACTTCCTGCTTGTCCTCAAGCGATCCTCTTTATGCAGTGTACCCAGCCGGTGTACCACATATCGGCAATATACCCCATACATCATCTATAAACGCCAATCCCAATGCCATGCTCGCCGTAACTGAACATATCCCTTATGATGTACCAAGAACTTTCTTATTGCGTGAAATATCCGATGAATGGTGTCTGATATTGCCCCAGTCCACATGTTCACCTGCCCACGAGCCTTGTGTCCATAACTTCACAAGAAAGTCTTTTTCGAATCTGCGACTTGCATTCGTAAATAAATCCCCTCTGGTACTGACTGGCTTCATATTCGCAGGCGTTAAGGTCGCTAGCTCACAGCCCACAGCCCACTCAAACTCCTGGCTCTACTCATAACGTAGCTGCGGCTTCGATAGCTCCGGCACCTTTAAAGGTAGGGTTACTGGTTATTTCGACAGTGACTGGATACTTCCACGTCATGTACTTTGCCCAACCTATTCGCAAATACATGAATTGATTAGCCAACATTCTTTGCCATCTGCATGCCCAGTATTCGAGAAACGGAGATGGTGTAAAATCCTCCCCTCATCTCCCAATCAAAACCTATCAAAACGGAAACAAACAGAACAAAGATAATAGCAAAAAAAAAATAGGAGAACATACTCCAATAAGCAAATTTCCTTCCAAAGTATTTCCCACACCATGGTACAATCACCATCGTAAGCATCATTTCCAACTGCTGCAAACTGGCTTCCCATTCTTTCTGTGCATCGGATTCTTCTCCGTCGTCTGAAGAGGCATAATCTGAGCTATCGACAGAGGAAGGCAGAGAATCTAACTCGTGGAGTTCGTCATCTTGAGTGTGGGAGGAGGCATGCATATAGGAATCTGAGGCGGAGATGGACATTTTGGGGTAATGGAGGGTTGATTGAACGGCGGTTGAGCGGACGAACGTAGAGGGTTAATTAATTTCCGAGGAAAAGCATAGAAAGAACGTGAGAATCGCTATCGCCAAAGAAGAGTCTGGCGATGCATTGAAGTGTGAGAAGAGTCTATAGGGAAGGCTGATAATTGCTTAACTATCTCATACTTGGAGCTTGAAGTCGGCGCCGATTTACTTGTGGCGTTGAGTCACGTGGTCTAGCCTTTGATCTTTAATTTTTAAGGCTAAAAGCTGGCTTTTGAGTCTATATATCGAGTGAGTGCGGGCAACTTTTATTTCAATCACACACAACCACATTACATTTCGAACAACAACGCAAAAGGAATATTATAGGATTACTCCCATCAGAAGACAGTATCGAAATAATCACTAGCGCAATCATGGCCGACACAGTAAGTTAACAATCGCTCTATGCTTTGTGAATCAATTTCACCCCACCTAAATCTTGATTGTTCTCATTTCAGGCCCGATTTTAACAACGTGCCATAGGAAGTTGACTCCAAACCACGCAAATCCGTCGCCTTCACCGAAGGAACTACGATTGTAGATGAGAACGGGGAAGTCACATTGAAGGAAGACGGACACGACGATACTAAAGAAACGGCGCAGTCACATTCACCTAGTACGCCGCCACTTTCTCAAGCTTTGGGCGCATTTACTGATCCTTTCCAAGGCAATGGCGACGATGCGACCGCAACCAAGGAAGATGATGGATTGGGCGATTTGTCGTTGATGAAGAAAAAGAAGAAGAAGAGCAAGAAGGTTGAGGAGGGCGAGGAGGGAGGTGATGAAGCTGCTGCAGATGGTGGTCTCGATCTCTCGACAATGAAGAAGAAGAAGAGAAGCAAGAAGCCCAAGGATACCGAAGATGATTTCACAGCCAGACTTGCAGCTGCAAATCTCAACGACGAGGGCGAGGGTGAAAAGGCGGCAGAGGAAACCCCGGTCGATGATGGTGATATGATCAAGGGAACAGGTATCTGGGCGCATGACGAGACCAAAGTAATTTCATACGAACAACTCCTCTCCAGATTCTTCACCTTGCTCGCAGCCAAGAACCCAGACCACGCATCTTCCGGTTCCAAGAGTTACAAGATCCCTCCTCCACAATGTCTGCGTGAAGGAAACAAGAAGACCATCTTTGCCAATATCGCCGAAATTTGCAAACGTATGAAGAGAACTGATGAGCACGTTACTCAATATCTGTTTGCTGAATTGGGTACCAACGGTTCCGTTGATGGTAGCAGACGTTTGGTCATCAAGGGTCGTTTCCAACAGAAGCAAATTGAAAACGTTTTGAGGAAATATATCAGTACGTTTGGTTTCTTATTTCTATAGGCTCTACTAACAATCTTCACAGTGGAATACGTCACCTGCAAAACCTGCCGATCCCCAGATACCGAACTCAACAAAGGAGAGAACAGATTGTTTTTCATCACCTGCAATTCTTGCGGATCTAGACGTTCCGTCACTGCTATCAAGACCGGTTTCTCTGCACAAGTCGGAAAGAGAAGAAGACAACAGGGTTAGAGTGTTGAGGCGAAGACTCGGGGGCGTACACGAATTACTAGCTAGCTACTGGATCCTCTGCGCAAGCTGGCAGGAGAAAAAAAACAGATATAGAGAGTACTTAGGTCGAAAGTTGGGATTTTACTTTATGAGCTTTCCTTTGGTGTTTTCAATCAAGATTTGATAGTCAAATGATCATTTGGGGTTCAAAATTTCACATCAGATGTCCTGAACAAATGGTCCTTCCAATTTGACTACCTTTCAATGCTCCAACCCGGATCTGAAGATTTTATAACTGATGTCTGTATCCCGCAAGACGGGGAAGTATAGATAGGTATAATGACTGATAAACAAACAATTTGAAGAATGCCAGAACAACTTGAATTTGGATTCTCTTTTTTAAAATCTAGCTTGGGGGACTGTTTGTACTCTTATTTGAATTAGTATGTCTTAATGGGAATGTCGATGGGTTATATATATATAGTATAGATTTTTAGACCCCGTATCAAGTTAGAGAAGCTAGTTAGAATAAAGTTTTAGGGGTCATCGTGGGACGTGTTGAGGGATCTCTACCCAAGAGTAGTAGTAGAGTACGCGTCGTTTATCGCTCAAATCACCAATGGTTAAAGATAATCAACCGATAATGGATATATAAGGGCATTTCTTTCATAATTGTGTCTCGCAAGGGAGTGAGTTTATGGTGGTTGGACGAAAGATGCGCGGAGGGGAAGTGTGGTGTGTGTGGCAAGCTATATATGGGTTATAGATTGGGATGACTTTGTGATATATACGTACGTCTTGGTATTTGGGTATGCAATTATGCGCCTTTGTGTTCACTAGGTATGTAGGTAGGTGAAGCAGAAAGAGAGATTTATATTAGGTGGTATTGATGTAGTATAGATAATGGGTATCTTTCAGAAACAACATTAAGAAACAATAGATTCTCTGCTACCAACAGATGAATGACCAACGAAAGAATCTGGAATCTAGATCTACAATATCGATATGTCTGATTAGTCTCTATACATGTCATACCTAGATAAACAGCACCGAAAGCATCCATCATCTAGTCTCCTCACCTCACCAAATTGGTGAAGATATAATACTTAAGCGCTCGGGAATTTTTAGGGCTCCATTTTTGATCGATATCAATATCGCAAAGTTCAAGCTTCTGTTCACATCCTGGAGAAATGATTGGTACGCAGAGGACAAACGAAAATAGCACAGCCCGCACCAAGAACCGCGCTGGCCAATCCGGGGCGTCAGGGCGTGAGATGAGGTGTGGGAGCTTGGGTGTGAGATGCATGGGAGTTTGCATGGGAGAGGAGATGCGTGATGCGTGGGTTTATATGATGAGAGGGAGCTGCTGTTTTTTCTTTGGATTTGCGATGAGTTGATGTTTTGAGTTTTTGTTGATTTATGATTGATTGATTGATGTTCTTGTGGACTTTGTGGGTTATTGAGTATTGAATATTGGATTTTGTTGGATTTGGATTGGTGTTTCAACTGGTGAGTGAGTACTGCATATTGAAGGGTCTGGATGGGAGAAAATAAGTGCGGGGCAAGCTTCAGAGCTTCATGAGATACAATAAGATGGGCTTATATGCTGACTGAAATTCAGCTCTGTAATTACAAGAACTGAAGCAAAGCCTGATATAACTTTGGGTCTTTCAATTGTTTGTTTGAGATTCTTTGATTCTTGAAATCATTCAAGATGTCTACATATTATCCTCGTAAGTATTTCTGGTCAACGCGCGAGAAAATTCAATCGCTAATACTTTGATAGCTCCTCCTGGAGGTAATGGAGGTAAGGGAATCGCTCATATACTAAGAATATACCTCTGACTCTCCACTACAGCTCCTGCTCCCGCTCCCCAACAACAACAATATGCACCTCCACCGACCTCTCCTCCTCCAAACCAGACATCATTCCAATACGCTGCTCCGCCAACCTCTCCACCACCAAATCAAACCTCATTCCAATACCCTGCTCCACCTGTTTCTCCTCCAGCTCAATCCTCGCATGCCTACTACCCTCCTCCCCCTTCTACCTCCACAACAAGCTATACCCCTCCTCCAAACCCTCAACCTACTCCTCCCCAACAACAACAACAGTATGCGCCTCCCACAAATTTCTCTCATCGTCCCTCATATTCCGGCGGCCAACATACTCTTCCCATCCATACACCACCACCCCAACAATCCCAAGCCTACGCCTCTTCCTACGCCGTTTCTCCCCAGGAAACTCATCACCCCAACTTTACACAACCGAGCTCCAACCCCACTACGAATACATCAGATTATCCGCCCGAAAAACCAGCGCTCAATACGAGTCTCACGACGAATTTGGATCATGGAGCGCCCAGCGCAGCACATTTCGTAGGAGCAAGTACCACGCAAGATGATGTGGGAACATTCAATGGGGGAAGTTATCGTGTTAGTCATAGAGATACGAATAGTATTGTGACGATTCAATTAGCGATGGGATGTCCATTGACTGCTAAACCTGGTTTGTTTTCTCTTTTTCATTCTCTCATCGGATAATGGGATGTTTGTTTTGCGGGGACAGTAAAAGCAAAGAGAATAAATTATGGCTAACTCAAATAAAGGCGCAATGATCGCAATGACCCCCACCATAACCCTCAAAGGCGCCATCAAATTCTCCATGAAAAAATTAGTTATCGGAGGCGAATTGGCCCATTCGACGTTTACCGGTCCGGGAGAACTTCTCCTTGCTCCCTCGGCTCTAGGTGATATCACGAATATTCGACTCACGGGCAATGAACAGTGGAGTGTGGGACGGGATGCGTATTTAGCTTCCACACAAGGTGTTATTAAAGAGTATAAGAGACAGGGAATTGGAAAAGCGATGTTCAGTGGAGAGGGCCTGTTTGTTTATAAAATTAGTGGAGTGGGTTTGTTGTGGATTAGTAGTTTGGGCGCGATTATTAGGAAGGATGTATGTTTTGCCCCTCCTTTTTCTCTCGTCTCTTTCATTGCCCTGACTTGTCTTATTTTCTTCTTCTTCTTCCACATGAGAACTAATACCACGGAAATAGTTACAAGAAGGCGAACGATACATAGTGGATAATGGACATCTCGTCGCTTGGAACACTAAATACGTATTGGAGCGCGTGGCTTCGGGAGGAATCATTAGTGGATTGAGTAGCGGAGAGGGATTGGTATGTAAGTTTACGGGACCGGGGACAGTTTTTATTCAGACGAGAAATCCGGCCGCGTTTGGTCAGTGGATTGCGGCGCATTCGGGTGCTTGAATAGGGAGAGGATAAGTAGGGGTGTGGTATGGGCAAGAAGGGAAGGGAAGTAATTGTGGATTTCGAAGGTTTTCTGTGCGTTTGGAGAGTTTCGAAAGCCTGAGGGCATACTGTTTGATTTGGTTCGATTTTATTTTTATTCTATTTGATGATACCTTGTCCTTCGTTTTTGACGACTTTTATTTTACGAATACTATTGGGGAGCTGTCCCTCGAATAACAAAAAGCAACATGATATTTGTGTATATTCATCTTTCTCTGAAGTAGATCTAGGTGATGAAGATATGTGAAAACATGTGTCTCAAACTGCTTGCCGTTCAATTGCTACTTGGCTGTATCTTTGTTGTGTGAGTGAGTATATTGTAGTTAAGGTTATTCTCTCTTTATCGAAACGTGATTGGATGAACAACCAAGACGGGAAAGACATAAATGCGAACGTTGATTGGCAGATCAAAAATAGGAACACTTCAAACTCCAAATCCTAACTGCTCCATTACCTCTCCCTCGGAGATCCTTCCTCTCGCACCACGAAGCCCAGAAAAAGCTCTCTCCCTCTCCAGGAACTCCCCCGGACTCCCCACCTCCACAACCCTCCCCCTCTCAAGCACAATAATCCGCTCGCTATCCATAATACTATCCAATCTATGCGCCACAACCAATATCGTATATCCTCTAAACACCTCTCGAATAATTCTCTGCATCATCTCGTCAGTTTCCCGATCTATATTACTTGTTGCTTCATCCAGGAGCAAGATACCTCCTGTTCCTGATGTGTGCGATGCGGCGAGAATAACGCGCGCGAGTCCGAATAGTTGTTTTTGTCCTTGGGAAAGGAAATTAGAGGGAGCGATTGTAGCGAGACCGTTGAGTGCGGAGAAGAGGGACCAGAGATGAACTTTTTGAAGAGCGGCGATGAGTTGGGAATCGGTGTATTGTGCTAGAGGATCGAGATTCTAGCGGATGGTTTGTTGGATCAAAAATACATCTTGAGGGACAGTAAGGAGTCGTTCGCGAAGAACTTGGTGGTCGATGTTGGAAAGGTCTATACCGTCGATTGTGATGGATCCGCTAGAGGGCTCTAAAAGTCGGAGAAGAGAGGATAGTAAGGAACTTTTGCCGCTGCCATCCCATTTTCTCGCCGACGTGGATGGAGAGAGTGATGTTGTCGAGTGCGAGTGTTGAGGGGGGGTGTAGCTAGCATTTAGGTTGCGGATTTCGATATTGCCATGTACGGGCCAGTAATGCGGGAGGGTGATGGGAGAGAGGGGTTTGAGCTCTGAGGAGGTGCGATGTGCGAATTCTCGGGTGCGTGATATGGCGCCGAGTGAGACTTCTAGTTGTGTCCAGTATTGAAGGAGGAAACTTAGGGTTTCGTTGAAACTTAGGACGTTGTTTAGAGAGAGACCGAGAGATCCTGGGTCGGTGGATTTGCATAGTTTGATGGCTAGTGCTATGACGATGATGGCTAGAGCGCCGACTACTAGATCTAATACTAACTGTAGCCATCTTTGAGCACAGTAGAAAAGATAATAAGGGACTTGAGATCTGTCGACCTTTTCAATCATCGAATCCGTGAATTGTTCTTGCCATCCCAAAACTCTAATGCTTGAAAGTCCATTCAGATTCTCCATAAAGTGAGAATATATTGGACTTCTCAATTCTAGTTCAATTGCTCGAAGCCGTCGAGATGTTCGGAGGTAGACACGTTGAATGCAGATAAGCGTCATGAATACTGCTGGAATTTTTATGGCCATCCATGCTGAACCAAGAGATATGAGACACAGAGATCCAATTGTCCATAAGCAATACATCAAGGTACACATAACCCCAGTAGGTAGTTGAGACTCGATAAGGGTCATATCTTGACTAAACCGATTGAGTATTGTTCCGATATCAGTTTTTGTGAAGAATGAATAGGGCGCATTCATCACCACGTCGAGCAATATCAGGTGTGGATTCGCGGCTGATTCAGGCACTAGCTTGAGAAACATAATCCATGCAGTACACCCGTACATGACACCATTCCCAATAGCCAAGATGAGGTATGTTGGGAGCCATTTTTCTTCATTTGAGCCATGGTCCGCTGCCCACCAATTGAGTATTGCTTGAGACATGTAAAGACATATAGTCTGTGCAGTAGCAGACAAGAAAAGTGTCAGTATTGTTGGCCATCGAATACTTCTGAAATAGTATACATAATCTCTTGAATCACTCTCGTGCTGTGGAATATCGACGATGTGGGCCTCGCTCACCACCTGAGTCTCTGAGAGTCTACCAATGCTGGCATCAATTGCTTGCGAATTTTCTCCTCCAGATGGGTTTTCGAAAATCTGGTCTGCGTTTAAATTTTCTGACAGATTCAAATTCATAGAACGACGCGAATCGAATTCCGTAGCTAAAACTTTTGCTTGAAGACGAGGGATATTGGAGCTTTTTGTCATATTACCAGACCCATCTAACATGATAACATTGTCTGCAATTGTTTCCCAGCGTGTTGAATGAGTCACAAATAAAACTGTAGCTCCAAGCTTTGATAGTAAGCCATCTCTTCCAAATAAACCAGTCATGACTTGTATCTCGGTCTTCATATCCAAGGCACTGAGAACATCATCAAACAGAATCAATTGTGGCCGGTGATACAAAGCTCGAGCGATATTGAGCCGCTGTTTCTGACCACCACTAAGACCAGAGCTCTGCCCTTCAACGAGAGTATTATCACCGTCTGGTAAGCCAATAATCATTTCGTCAAGTACACAAGCGTGCAGGACAGATTTGTACCAAGCTTCATCGAATGTGTCCACTTCTAAACCACAAATATTCTGCCGAATAGTACCCGTAAACAGCCATGCAGTTTGAGGACAGTATGCTATTCGACTGGGATCAATTGATATGGTGCCGCTGTACTTTGTTTCGCCAAGTATCGCTCTTAATAATGTTGATTTTCCGGATCCGCTTGGGCCTAAAATCATAGTGAAGCTGCCTTGAGAAGACACCAAGTTAAGATCGCGCAGAAGATGACTTTCACTATTGTTCCCTGAAATACTCACACCCGACAAACACGCGACAGGGACGGCCAAATCCCGTCCATCTCTAAGGTTTTCCTGAATCGGATTTCTTTTAAGATTCAGAACTCGCTTCTCGTGCCGATGTGGTCTTCGCAGGTGCTCTTGAATTCTCTCTACGCATCCAAGACAAGAAGCTGCAAATGGAAAGGAAGTTATGAGCTCTGAAGCAGGAGATGTAACAAGATTTATCAACGCAAGACTTGTGAAGACTTGAGAAATATTGAGTGAGCTAGAATTTGCCACGCGCGCCTTGATTGCGTATACGATGAAAGTAACTGCAGGAGCAAGGGCTGGCGGCAAGTTTCCTGTGAGAAAGTGTTAACTTTTGACTCTTCGGATAGTTTTGAATTTAAATAAGATGTGGTTGAAGACAGTATGTAGACGACTTCTACATAGTACCAACTTGATTTATTATGGCAATATGTTCAAGCCTCATTATACGTTGTGTATGAAAACTAACACCAAAACCATACAAGAGATTGAGACACCGACCTAGAGTATTCAACCATACTGTGGACCACCGAAATTTTGCTTGCAGTGCAAGCTCCTTCTTTCTTTCTTTTTGCAGCAGATAGGTCAATGGCCTTGCCATGCCCAACATCTTGACGCTTTTCATTGAAGATAAAACATCAGCTGTCAGGGAAATACGCTGCTGGACGGCATCTGACCAAATCTTGACTTTACCCCCAATCAATAAAGTGACTCTTGAATCGAGTATAGCACTGACGAAAATCACGGCCAGCGGCATGGTACAAACCCAGCCTATTTGAAAGGCCAATAGAACGATTCCAATAATCAGTTCTAAAGGTCGGGACCAAAGATCATGAAGCATGACCATACTTTGGCAAATTCGGTCAACATCGGTGCTCATAAGTGTGAGAGCAGACGATGGGTCGTCCATCTGGTCCTCTATTGACAAGCTCTTAGTATAAATCAATGAGACGAGCGATCCTCGAATCATTGTTACATTTCGATAAATATGATGCCTATACAAGGCATTCGAGATCTGAACATAAGTTAGTTATACTCTGATTAGAAGAAATCGGGCTACCATACTTACCGCTATTCCGAGATAGATACATGCCGTCGCCCCAATAAGCCCATAACCAATATCTTCTTCCAAAACATCACTTGGCTGACTCAAATAACTGATTGCTCGCTCAATAAGGAATGGCTGGGCAAACAAAAACCCAGAATAGCATAAGCGAGGTAAGACAGGCAATAAGATTGACCATCGATGGGCTTTCCACAGACTTCTCAGCAGAGGCTTCTTGGCCTCACGGTTTTGTTGTTTCCATGAGTCTTGAAATCTTTGGTGCAATGCTGCAGACCCAAGATTGCTGTCAATTTGGCCAAGATCTTCAAATGATATCACCTTGCTGTAACCACGCTTGAAAAGCGCATTCATCCAAAGAAAAAGGCTGTTGCTAAAGATACCACCAGTTACCTCGGCAGCTAATGTCTGATACTGTTCCATAAGAAACACCCTCTTATCCCATACTTCAAGGCATAGTAAGGCGATTCTCGCCGCCAAGCTAAAGGAGAAAACGATTGCAAGGCGTAGCTGACCGGGAACATTATACAATGTGCGAGCTTGAGGGATATCAAGACCTGCCGAAAACGCAAGATACAAGCTGATAAGAGTTGATGGCTTCACAGAACGATATTGTTCAAGATGAGAGAGGGGTACAATAGCTACAGCAGCCAAAAGATTCAATGTAGTTGTAGGTATTGAGAATTGTGTTCGAATTGTAGTTGACTGAGTATAGAAAACTAAAAGTGCTATTTGACCCGAGATTAATGCCATGGATGCTATCGGTTTTGCGATCGACATCCAGCTCGTTTTTGTTTTCTAACTGGTCAATCGAAGAAACCAAATTCTCCATGGTAAAAGCAGTAGAAAGATGGCGCTTGGAACAACTGAAAGTATAGCTTGTTCAAAGAACAGTGTAAAGTCAAAAGTACGAGCACATGCCGCTATAACTGGACCAAACTTCTTGTCGGCATCGAATTGACACCCCTCAGTATTGTACAGATCCATCACGATCGTTTGATTAGAGGTCAACATGGAGGCAAAGGTATGTGAGCCTCCCTAATTTGGGGTATTGTGGTAAGAAGAGTTTCTTCAAGATCCTGCTAAGAAAATAGAACTAATTGTGAATATTAATTTTATCCCAACTGTTGGGATTTTCAAGCTCCGACTCTTGACGGCATATAACGCAATCACACTGCTACATGGTAGATAGTAGTGATGTCAACTGCAGAGAAACCTCCGCCCGCGGCGGAACCCTGCTCACACAACCGAAGCAGGAATAGGCTGGTCGAATTCCGGGATCCGAAGCTGCGAATAGTATACCTCTGAAATATTTCACAGACTTCGGATCCAAGATTTCAGTTTCGATTTCATGGCTTTGAATTCCATGCATACGTCTCGTACACGTAAGAAGTAGTAATCTGTAATGGATGACGCAATTTGTTAAACTGATTTCATGCTAGAGTAGTAGGCCGCAATGCTTGATTTTCTGATGCTGATTTATTGTATTCTTTGTTTTATGGGTATCACTAACCCCTCTCTGCTTTCAAAAGTACTGATTGAGTGTACCGGTTAAATGTAGAAAACATTTCCTGATTTATGCATTTCTTGTGTATCTGACCAATTGATGATGCGGAGAAGAACAATTCTTGTGAGCAATTTATCGAGATGCCAGAGAATATATTTAACGTGGTTAGTACGCAGATAGAACATCTACTTCAAGCTCAATCCGTAATGATACCTTGAAATATTGTGCCTCACGTTCGCATAACATCCTTATCTTTGACCATACGTTATCTCGCGCGTAAGCGGCGTTCTACACGTAAGACTTCTACTTGCCTAGCTAGGTAGGTGGGCAGACGCCTTGCTTCCATTTGCACTTCATCCCTAAAACCCGCATCTGAATCAATGGATGACCGTGTAGGAAACATGAAAAACAGGGATCGGGAAAAACGTCTACAATGCGATTGGTTACCAGTACGTTGGGACATATTGACATAAGATTTTACTTCGACATGCTGCCAGCGCTTTGAGTTTGGGCATTTTGTACATCAAAACAATGAAGTTTCTACAGGTATAAACCCTAATTCGTGACTGTGTGGAGTCGTATATGAATACCTATCAGCGCTTCGACGCTTCTGTTCACGCAGGCCTAGATGTTGGGGAAATGGAAAGATCAAGAGCTACAAGTACTCTCGAAGCTGGCCGGGATGGCTCAAGTAATGGTTTAAATCCGGCGTCATGGTGCTTGTGAGTATTGCGCAACAGCTTGTCCCATCTCCTGGGACATGTAATGAATCATCTTGATTGCGAAGGTGTTTTGCCAGCCATGAGAAAGACACAATCGCCGAAATAGAGACATAGTTCCAGAATCTGTTTGAGTACATGCTTCATGGTATAATAAAGAACATAGGACATTCGCATCTAGGAGGTTGTATGAAAATATCGAAAAGCTTCGCAGCAATCGGAGCAATATAACAACATGTATGTAAAGGAATGAAAATGAAGATAAAATGACTGTACATATTGTAGGCATCTAATTCTACAACGATAAATTTTTCAACGTTAGTTTGCAGATCACAGCGCAACACTTCACGATATGTCTCTTCTTACTCGCGGCGTTTTGGCCATTGTCATCAGCACGCTTGCGACGATCACGAAACAAGCCGCAGACACTATAAATGGCAACCCCTGCAACACTCTGTCTAAGTCTAAGCTCAATGCAAAGGCGTAAGAGTATGCAGATCCAGAGAAGGTACCGCCCACGCTCTTTATAGTAGATATCAATGTCGTAGCAAAAGCGGCACGCTCTGGTGGGAAGATTCCCACGAAGATAGATCGCAAAAGACTGCTGAGACCAATTCCGGTGCCAAAAACACTGATACCTATTCCAGATGAGTCACTCTCAATAAGAGCAGTAAGGTATACTGTAATCACCTAAGAGAGCAAACGCAACATTTGGAGCGAAACTTAATAGCAATGCCCCAACAAGAGATAGAGCGCTGCTAATAAGAGCAAGTGCTATGTCTCTGTAGCACGTGTTGAAGCTCCTCCGAAGCAGAATCAGGACATTTTCCAATAGCAAGCCTATGAAAAGCACGATTAAATTTGCTACGTGATCAAGAATGATAAACGTATTGGCCTGAAGGCGAGAGACATCAGCACTTGGGATTACAAAGCGATATGAAATGACTCACTTCCGAGAAACTGATGTTGAACTGCTCTGGCATGTATTGGAGAATTAAAATCTGAACCCTCTGACCGAGTGTAGCGAAGAGCCCAGCAATTAACAACGAGATGGCACCTCTGATCTGTAAGAGATTATGAAATGATTTGATCACCGCGTGCCTGCTGCCAATAGGCTGCGTTCTGGATCTTGAGATGTTGGTATATTCTGAAGCAGAATCAATCTCCGGCTCAGAATTTGATGACTGAACTACTTCCCCCGTTGGTAAAAGGAGACTTGAGCATAAAGCTAAGGACATCAATGCGAGACCAACCAATTGTGCGGCAAAGTTCTCCAAAGATTTCATCGTTGCCGAACTCAGTCCAAAGCCCAGGATTGCTGCTACCAAAGCTATACCGTGTATAGAAGAGAAGACTAATACTCTTTGAGTTGATGGTGTGACTGCTGCAGCACTCGTCATGAGAATAGCAAGGGGCACACTTGCCCCGCCCCTAGTCAAGGTAAATACGGGACCTATCCAAACGAATTTTAATGGAATTCCAGGAACAAGCCAGTCCACACCAGTAGTCCACATTGAGCTCATTACCAATCCCAGATAGCCCAGAAAGAGAATCGGTCGCCGGCCGTACTTATCTGCCATGCTGCCGCAAACGCCAGACAAGAGAAGCATGGGTAGGCATTCCAAAAGTTGGAAGACGCCTAAAATCAGCGCCAGCTCACTTGCAATTGCATGATCTTTTTGGCAATTTATTATAAGTTTGTGTGCATCTTGAGATGCCTTGGTGCATTATTGTTCTTTATAAGATGCGATTAGAGGAGTCGTTCGCATTGCCACACCAGTTTCGAAAGAGAGTTCCCGAATACCAACCAGTCCCCAGACCAACCACTTGAATCTCAATCTTCGAACAGAAAATGATGGAGGGTCCTGCGTCCCAGAAATTTGCAAAAAAGGAGTTTGCACATCTTCTTCCCCTGTTGGTTGCAGCTGCCACGCATCATGTGTTTCTCTGATCTAATAGATGAGGTCTTGAAAAGCGACTTGTGAGCATAGGTATATATCGAACGGGAATATGAAGTTTAGATGTATGGATACCCGTAAAGCACCCAACGAATAACTCAGTCCAAAAACTGGCTATACATCCGCTAGATGGAATGAGGGTCGCTTCCCGTTTTCCGATCTCAACCAAACAGTGACAAGGCAAGCAGGCTCGGCAGACAAAACTTCATGTCAACGGGCCGAGTATTGCCCGAAAACGTAGAATAATGTGGAATCGAGTAACGTGATGAAAGCAACATAGCTTTCATGATCAATGAATAAAACTCAATCAGTCAAGCTTCTCTAAAGGAATTCAAGGCTTGATATCCATCAATGACAATTTTGATTATAAGCATATTTACGAGTATCAGTTCAGACATGTGACGACGTCATCCTCACGTGACCTTCAAATGTAGAGAATACGGAAGGCACAAGCGAGTTGAATCCAGCACATGCAAACTAGTTCACTAGGAAACAATACTACCATTTCAGGCAAGCAAAGGCAAACACGACCTCAAAATTTTCGCTCTTCAACAGCTTCACAGATCATAACATTAACCAAAAATTCTACCTTCATCCATAAATATCAGAAACTATTGCAGAGAACACAAATCTTGATAGTCAGAAACGGTCACATCAACAAAGCCACAATTACATATGGCGACTTCCGATGGGGTTGCGGTGGAGGTGCACGGGACAACTCAGCTTCCAAATTCTATTTTGAGTTGGTACGATGAGACTCGTCCTATGTGGATTGACCTTGTAGGAGATTATGCTGGAAAAGAGTTGTTTCTTCTTGAGGGAGACTCTCTTTTAAGAGAATGTTTCGCAGATGAAAGGATTGATTTTCAAGGTAACGATTTTATGTTCCTATTGATGTTCTGCTCTTTGATTCCCCAGGTATTGATTCCCTTCGGAGAATTTCATATCGGGGATTTTAGCAAGTGCTTGGAATACGTGCTTTGAGTACAAGAGATGTGCAACATCATACACCAAGGATGAAAGTTTCATCTTGTTATGAATTCGACATCAAAGCGGCATGGATCTCTAGCAATCACGTTATCCAAAAAAAGGACTATGGGCTAACAATATCTTTCAGATGGATTTCAATTGCTTCATGCCGTATACGTAGTGGAGCGATTCCTTGAGAATTTAGTCAAGAGACATTGCAACTTCCACATTGCTTTCTTCGAGGGTATGTGTTTCCCCTCCAAAGCTATGCTCTTGATCTGTTGAATATCATTCAAGAATCCAAAGCCTTCGTTATTCCGGGGCCGATCGATAATTCTAACTTGAATTGTAGAGAATCGGCAATTATGTGTACCACCAGGAGTGAAATCCACGCATCGAGCTCGGTATCTTCTCGCTCGAACAGCAATTCGACAACATTTACACCACAAATTACCATTATCACATCCAGAGATTGTGGTCAATACTTTCCCTTCATTAGAGAGTGAAGAGTTCTCCAGTTATCTTCATGCTACACCAATACACTTTGTCATGTCGCATGACGGGGCTGCAACGGCAAAGCAACCTCGCTCATCGAAGGAA